GTGCACTCACGCAGTTCCGCCGCATTCCCAACGATGGAGTGCGATATCTGCCTGGAAGAGTTCGACTTGGTCGAGAGGCGGCCCAAGACGCTTCCCTGTGGACACTCCGTCTGCCGACATTGTTCACACAGAATGCACAAGCAGGTTTGCCCAGCCTGTCGCAAGGTGAGTCAGACGTTCGTTTGTCTGCGAATAAACTAATTTTTGTCCGATTCACATCCAAGCGAGCGTGACACTCCTGGTATGAGTGTGTGGTTGTGACGAAGCAAAATTGATCCTTCTTTGTTTACTGGCACCAGGAATTTTCGACGCCAGTTCTGTCACTGCCAGACAACTACGCCGTTCTCGAGTTAATCGAGAAGAAACAGCGCTTGTCTCCCGGTGGAAGTTCCATCCCACTTTCCAAGTGAGTACACACTAAATGTCATGGGACCTTTTTGGTCCCATGAATGATGCAATTTTAAGCACATCCGGTTGTGATGCAATTTTGTGTCCGCCGCCGGGCGGGGCAAATTGTCTAGTGAAAGTACAATTTGCAGCAGGCGTAGGATAAAATGTGTCTCCAGACGGCAACGAAATTGTATCAGCGTCGGATGTGCTTAAAATTGCATAAATCGTGGAACAAAAAAAGTCCCGACATTTGGTGTGTAGATCCAGTCAGTGATTCTACCATGACTCCTGTGATTCTGCGACAACTTCACGCGCGGTTCAAGGAGTCCCCGACAGGAGAAAGGGGGGGGAGGCTACACACAGGGGAATGTGTTGCTGGTTGCCTACTATCAGACCCCCCCTCCCTTTTTCCTTCCTTTAACCACGCCTGCTGTGGTCAAAACTTCGAAGCGTCGGACACAACTGGTCGACACTTGCAAGCTCAGGGCAAACTGGTCTGCGCCGAGGGGCAAACAACTTCGTCGAAATTTGTACACCGTTTTTTCAAATTCACGTTATTTCATTGTTATTGAGCTAATTTATTTAATACGTGCAACGCCTTCCCATGACCCCCTCCGATTTTGACCAAAAATTTTTTCTGAGATGCCCTTATGGTAAGAAAAAACATCCTAAAATATTAGGTCGCTAAAAAATTTATTGGCCGAGAAAACCAATGTTTTCTAAATTTGCCACTTTTTTTACTTAATTTGGGAGTTTCTTTACTACTCTGAGGTTTTTTGGCGCTAAGCGGCTGAAAATTGATATCCTTATGTAAAATTGCCCAAGGAACAAGAATATGGTCACAGATTTGACCTACGACCGATATGTTGCGACATATGTACTCAAAACGACCAAATTTTACTGAAAATACCCAAATTTTGGGGAAACGGTCAAAAATATTTTTTATCCACGATCCGTTGACGCCATCTAGTAGAAAAAGAGCTAATAAAGCCAATGAGCACACGCCCATGTTTGTAGCTCAAACCGTTTAGAAGCTGTAAGGCGTCAAAGTTGGAGGTTTTTTGAGGGGGCCTGAAAACCGGCCCTTTTGACCTCTGCGCTCAATGTCCGGCACCCGAGCCGTACCAGCCATGATCCTTGCTTTCGAGGTGAGGTCTGCGTGCGCAATGGGAGTCAAGAAGAGGGTGAAGCGGCACAGCGTTTCTGAACAGGGTCCTCTTTAGAGCGCCTGAACAGCCGAGGGTTGGTAAGCTCACCAAACGGCGCTTGGAAAGCACTCGCCGCACCGTGGGCTCGCTCAAGGCCACGAACAATGCCATTCGGTGTAAGTCTAAAACTGTCGCCCTCGACAAGCTTCGGATTCTGTTGCCTGCCCCTTCCTTCTCTCTCTTTCCCACATGGTCCAAAGCCGTGGCCCACGACCCCTCAACCTGCCCCCAATACCGGATATATTGTGTGTTGATTCAGATGAATTTCAAGCGCTGCGCTGCCTGGCGGCGGCGGGGGAAGCCGTGCCGCGTGACTCTCTTCAGAGGATACCAGCTCCTTTCGGCAAGTCCAGAATGCAAGTTCGGACAACTCTTACGGTTAATCTACCGTACACAGACGAATCTGCGTGAAGCACGGGTGTACATTATTATTTCCGATAAATTTATAGTACAACGCCTTACGTCTAGACTTGATTAGTAGACAATCTGTCAAAATTTTCATACCAAAATTATGAAAACAGGTTTCAGGATGACAAGGCTGAAAACTTCACTACAAAGCTAACTGTCTACTAAGTACACACTTACAAATGCGTGCTTGCAAGTACACACTTACAAACGCATGCTTGGCTAAGTACACACTTACAAATGCATGCTTGCAAGTACACACTTACAAACGCATGCTTGACGCATTGAGTTATGCGGCGTTAAGCATGCGTTTGTAAGTGTGTACTTGCAAGCACGCATTTGTAAGTGTGTACTTAGCCAAGCATGCGTTTGTAAGTGTGTACTTGCAAGCACGCATTTGTAAGTGTGTACTAAGTAGACAGTTAGGTTTGCAGTGTTTATCAGAATTTTCAGACCTTCTGCTTAAAATTCAGACTAACCGGTGTGATCTCAAATTTCAGAGTTCCTAGTCTGAAAATTCAAAGCATTTTTCTGAATTACCGATTCAGACTGCACAGTCTGAACAAATTGTACTGAAATTTCAGAAATTTTTTTACAGTGAGCTTTTTGTCGGAAGCTGTCGCCCTTCGGGAAGCTTAGGAAGTTCTTCGGAATCTGTCGGCGTTTCCCCCGGCGGTTTTCTCACTTTCCCAACCCTGAGGGGTCGAGGGCGAGGGGTTTGAAAAGTTGGGAAAGGTTGGAAACCAGGAAGGGGCAGCCGACGACTTGCGATTCTCTTCCGAACCTTCCTGAGGGCGACAGCTTGAGACCATAACCGAACAAAAGCTTGAAAATCGTCTGAAACAACACACAATTCATTTAGTGTTTGGGAGGTTTAGGGGTCGAGGGCGGTAGTTGGGCAATGTGGGAAAGGAAGAAGAAGAAGAGAGAGGAGGGGGGTGGAGATTGCGGCCGACACAGAATCCAAAGCTGTTCGAAGGCGTTAGCTCGCTGTCTGAAGGTTCAAACAGGTTCCCGTTTTCGTTTTCCCTGAATTTGGCCTTCTTGAAAGGGTGAAACTTTCTATTTTCTCTGACCTTTTTCTCAAGTTTTATTCGCAAGGTTCAATAAATAGGTATAAATAGGTATTAATAGGTATTAATGATTTCCGGAGCGAAACGCATGAGCTAAGCAAGCACCCCTACTACGCATTACTTACACTTCATGCCAGCTTTTAAAATTTTCCCTATCCTGGTTGCGATTTTCCCTAACCTTATTACGGTTTTCCCTGAGTTCTAATGCCCCTTTAAATTTCCCTTACACTGTTAAAATTTTTTGCTGAAAATTCAGACTTTTTTGACTGAAGTAAATATGCAGAACATCCTACTGAAAATTCAGACTAAATCCTGGCCTGAAATTTTCAGACTTACACAAGTCTTAACCTTTCAGGCAGGTCGTTGTCTGAAAAATTCAGACAAAATTGTCTCAATTACTAGATTTTTTTGTCTGAAAGTGGCAGCAGGAAATTTTCCCGTAACTCGGTGAAATGATAATGTTTGCATCCGAACCTCAAAGGAGGGACGTTCTCCAAGGAACCGTCTAGGTAAAAAGTGGAGTGTAGGGAAATGTCCCCGGCGATGTGGGACTCTTCCCTGCACTCATCTGGAGCTGGCCTGACGCACCCTAGGAAACGACGGCACGGAGCCAACCGCGAGAGGTGACTTCAAATGTCAATTGTTAAACTCGCGCGTTTGCTACAGATATAAATTTGGTATGAGAGCATGTGTTTCGTCATAGCCAATAGAGTAATAGCTATTTCGGGTTGGAAATATTAAAAATTTAACAGAAAAAGGCGTTTTTAACAACAGCAGGCTCTTTACCGACACTAGCGCCACCTAGCGGAGAGAAAAATGCTTTCGTTTTGTCTGAAGTCCCCGAAACGGAGTCGGATTAAATTGAATGTAAGACTGATTGTGAGTTAACCCAATGTTAGGTTCCAATTTTCTCTTATGTTTGAACATATTTCAGAAAGTAGTCTGAATCCGAAATTCAGACTCTTGAGGTCTGGGAAGTCTGACGCAAGTTCATATGAATTTTGAGAATGAGTACAAATATTAAGACACTTCGAGTCTGAACCAAGCTTTCAGACAAAGCGTTTAAGAACTAAGACAAAAACTCTGATTTTTCAGAATTAAGTCTGATTTACAGATTCAGACCGCTAAGTCTGACAAAATTGGTCTGAATTTTCAGAATTTTTTTAACAGTGTACTTCATTATGACTCCCCTTAATTCTCTGACCAGTGTGAACGTGTGAACCTTGCGTTGTCCTCGAGCTGTCGACCGCACTCTCAGACTGTTATTGACTTGTCTCTAGTTAAAGAGCATTTTACCCTGAGAATGAAAGAGTCATGATCATGACTCCCAAATTTGGGTCATAATACTATGGAGCTAAATCGCCCTCAACCCCTCAGGGTTGGGAAAGTGAGAAAACCGCCGGGGGAAACGCCGACAGATTCCGAAGAACTTCCTAAGCTTCCCAAAGGGCGACAGCTTCCGACAAAAAGCTTGAAATTCATCTGAATCAACACACAATATATCCGGTATTGGGGGCAGGTTGAGGGGTCGTGGGCCACGGCTTTGGACCATGTGGGAAAGAGAGAGAAGGAAGGGGCAGCCAACAGAATCCGAAGCTTGTCGAGGGCGACAGTTTTAGACTTACACCGAATGGCATTGTTCGTGGCCTTGAGCGAGCCCACGGTGCGGCGAGTGCTTTCCAAGCGCCGTTTGGTGAGCTTACCAACCCTCGGCTGTTCAGGCGCTCTAAAGAGGACCCTGTTCAGAAACGCTGTGCCGCTTCACCCTCTTCTTGACTCCCATTGCGCACGCAGACCTCACCTCGAAAGCAAGGATCATGGCTGGTACGGCTCGGGTGCCGGACATTGAGCGCAGAGGTCAAAAGGGCCGGTTTTCAGGCCCCCTCAAAAAACCTCCAACTTTGACGCCTTACAGCTTCTAAACGGTTTGAGCTACAAACATGGGCGTGTGCTCATTGGCTTTATTAGCTCTTTTTCTACTAGATGGCGTCAACGGATCGTGGATAAAAAATATTTTTGACCGTTTCCCCAAAATTTGGGTATTTTCATTAAAATTTGGTCGTTTTGGGTACGTATGTCGCAAGATATCGGTCGTAGGTCAAATCTGTGACCATATTCTTGTTCCTTGGGCAATTTTACATAAGGATATCAATTTTCAGCCCCTTAGCGCCAAAAACCTCAGAGTAGTAAAGAAACTCCCAAATTAAGTAAAAAAAGTGGCAAATTTAGAAAACATTGGTTTTCTCGGCCAATAAATTTTTTAGCGACCTAATATTTTAGGATGTTTTTTCTTACCATAAGGGCATCTCAGAAAAAAAATTTGGTCAAAATCGGAGGGGGTCATGGGAAGGCGTTGCACGTATTAAATAAATTAGCTCATTCCAACGTTATTTCAAGGGTATTTCAACGTTATTTCGCGTTATTTCGTGTTGTTTCACCGTTATTTCACGCCTATTTTGGCGTTATTTCACCGTTATTTCTCGTTATTTCACGGAAAATGTACACCTAAATTCAAGTTGTTTGCCCCTCGGTCTGCGCCCATCACTGGTAGCCAACGAATGTGAGGTCACGTTCGCCAGCTGAGTGCGTGTCACACCCGAAGTAATATGGCAAAGCGCTGCGGTGTGTCACATTCGTTCGACTGTCACGCTCACGCTCAAGCTAACATCGCCGTTTTCACTTGTAAACGAACGTGACGTCACATTCGTTGACTGCCAGTAATACAAGTGTCGACACTGCAAATTGGATGAAAAGACTTTGCGCCAAAATATGGCGAGACATTAAAGCCTTGCCATGTTTTGGTCAGACCTGAAAGTCTCGCCAACATCTGGTCAGACACAAAAGTCTCGCCACAAAACGGTCAGACACAGAAGTCTAGCGAGACTTTTGTGTCTGACCGCCACCCAAAGGCCGTTATGGGCCGGACAGTTACGCGCCATTTTGTGGTGAGAATTTTGTGTCTGACCGTTTTGTGGCGAGACTTTTTTGTCTGACCAAAACTTCTCGCCTCTGGAGTGGTGAGAAGTATGACCTTTGGATTTGTAGTGGACTTGTCCAACACTTGAGTTTGCAGTGTATGTGTACCGTCCTCTCTCGGCCCGTTCGCAGGATGCGCTGCCGGGACTGCAGCACGGTCGCCTCTGCGAAGTGCGTGGACCGAGGCCACGTCCTCCTCTCCCCCGGCAAGAAACGCCCCAAGACGATCGTGCGCAGCGGCCTGCCGAGCGGCGTGCAGACCACTGCCGAGCAGGCCGAGAGGGTGGTGGAGATGCTGCAGGGCGCCGCTCAGGTACCGTCTTCATCGCCAAAGAGTCGACGGGTCTAGGACAATTCGTCCCCGAAAATTGGTCCCCGAACTATTGGTACCCCCCATTTCGTCCCCGGGACAATAAGTACCCCACACTGTTCGTCCCCAAATATGACTGGTCCCTAGACAATTTGCCCCTAAATAATGTTTTTCAGAATTTCATTTGTTTACTTCAAAACTGTAAGAAAGAACAGGTGCAGCCAAAGATTTTTATACATATATTCTCCGTCACGTTGTGGCCGACGGCGCGCAGGTAGCACAGGATGTCGTCTGCCTCGTGGTAAGTGTCGTAGCGATCTACAACACTTACCTAAAGACTGGTAGCCAACGAACGTGATAACGGCGATGTTAGTTTGAGCGTGACAAACGGCGAAAATTTACAGACAAAGGAATGTGACATACGGCACCGCCGGGCACCGCTTTCTCACATTACTCCGGGTGTGACACTCAATCAGCTGGAGAACTGTGACATTAATACATGGTACCCATGGACGCATGTCGCATCACATCCAAACGATTGTGACACCCACGTACTGTAACATTCGTTGTAATGTGACATGCTCAATTTGTCATGTTCCTTTGAATGTGACACGCCATGATTGCCGGATTATGGGGTGTCACGTTCGATTGAATGTGAACATTCGGGCATGTCACATTGGAACGAATGTGACAGTTCACGTGTGTGACATTCGTTTGGATGTGACACGACATAAATCAAGAGGTACCATGTGTCACATTCGTTTCAATGTCTTAGTCCGGCATGACCATGTGTCACATTCGTTTCAATGTCTTAGTCCGGCATGGGGAACGTACCGGCTGGGACCATTCTAAAAACGGGGACACGTTTGGGGACCAATTTGAAAGGGGGACCAATTTTACCGGGGGCGAATCGGTTGCGGACCCAAAAGTCCTTGGGACGAATTTTCGGGGACGAATTGTCCGGATCCCGAGTCGACGGGTCGGGACCGGACTTCGACTTTTTGCCGAAACGAAAACCGAACAGCAAATGGTGGTGGACAAAAGCTCCGGTAGTGCTCCGAGCTCGGGAGGGGGGCCATAAAACCATTGTGGCCCGAGCTCACCCCCTCTGCGTAAGCGGGGATCGTCGCACGAAGTCGACTCTTTGCCGGTCGACTCTTTGCCGATGAAGACTGTACTGGTGTGAGAACATACTTTGCAAAAATTTGTTGTCATTTATGACAAAACTGCAGATGACTATTTCATCCCAGATGGGTGACCTTTTTTTTAAAGTAAAAGCTCCTATACCTAGTGCATGGGCGTGACAACTTCTTGTCATTAATTGTTAATGTGTCATTCTTATGAGGAAGATTAGCCTGGACTTTGTCATCAAGGGATTGCCAAAATTTTCAGCGTACCTCCACGCTAAAAGCGGTACCTGGTTTTCTCAGGAAGCCTATGGCAAATCCATAGGCGATTTCCAGGGGTCCTGTGAAAACCAGGAACCGTTTTTACCGAGTCGAATTCGAATGGAATCAGGGCACAGTGTATTGTAATTATTTCGAAGAAAAGTACACACCTATCTGCAGTTCTGAGTTCAACTCTTTTCAAAATCGAAACAAAAAAAAAGTTATGTTTCCAAACTAAAACTGCCAGAAGAACAAAAAAAATGCTCATTTCACCTTTTGAGTTAATCGAATGGTATGTGCTCTTACTCAGTTCGGTTCGGAGAAATTTTTCATCACGCCACTCGAGATTGATAAAAGCGGATTCATTCATCTTTTTGCGCAGGCCGTGGAGAGCCAGCTGGTGGAGTGGAGGGCCAGCCTGAAGCAGGTGCAGGAGTCCGAGAGGGCCCTGCGGCACGCAGTGGAGCACGGAACCCTGGAGGAAATCGATGAACTGGTAATTCAAAGCGTACACTGCAAACCTAACTGTCTACTAAGTACACACTTACAAATGCGTGCTTGCAAGTACACACTTACAAACGCATGCTTGACGCCGTATAACTCCATGCGTCAAGCATGCGTTTGTAAGTGTGTACTTGCAAGCATGCATTTGTAAGTGTGTACTTAGTAGACAGTTAGGTTTGTAGTGTAACGTTACACCTTCCTTCATGCGTTCGCCCTACATGTTTATGTACACACAAAATTCCTTCACGGGAAAAACAACGTCCGGGTTTCCCAGGCTCACCTTGGAAAAAAAAAACGCATTTTTCCAGGGTGCGCCTAGGAAACCCGGACGTCGTCTTTTTGCCGTGTTTGATCAATTCATGTATGCACAAATACGTGCATACGTGCCTTTCGAACTATTTTGTGCACGCACATATGGCTTTGGCACTAATTTTTGCGTTATTTCCCTACAATTTGTGCGGTTCCATGTAAAAATTTGGGCAAAACAGGTCGCAAATTGAAAATTGTATGAGAGCACGTGCAAAACTGTTCAAATACAATTTGGTGTGATCTTTCATCGACGTTAATTGTCCGAAATTGCTGTCATATTTCATCCAGGAAGCGGAAGAAGGGAGTAATGAGACTCATCTCCAAATTGAGTTTTTGTCATATCATTGTGCCTCGGGATGGTTTGCATCATCACACCAAATTATTTGGTGCCACATGTTTTCAGAATGCACACAGCCCCCGATTTTATTGCGCCCTAATCAGACCGACACGGGACGCCTTTGTTTTTCCAGTGTGCTAACCTCGACCTGGAGCAGCTTGACCGACTGAAGGAGGCGGCCGGCCTGGTGGAGGCCAGTTGCGGGCTGCAGGCACAGCTGCAGGACAAGCTCGGCGACAAGTGGAAGGAGCTGAAGAAGGGAGACCCCGTGGAGCTGCTCAACGCACTGGTGCTGGACATTCATCAGCAAGGCAGCAACGAAAACTCTGAAAACAGAAAGGTGAGATTTTTTACCCTTAACGCGGTGATCACTGCAAAGCTAGTGGTAAGTTTGCTTGTCACAATTTTGGCAAGCCGTTTTGAATGCCAAAATTTGGCAAAGCTTTGGTCGGCAATCTTCAGAAGGTTGCCAAATTTTGGCAAGAGAGTATTTCTGGGCCAAGCTGGCCAAATTTTGGCATTCGAAACGGCTTGCCAAATTTGTGGCAAGTAAACTTACCACCGGCTTTGCAGTGGATAACTGGCAACAGCATGAAGATGCACTCCACTTCGACTCCGAAACCAGTGTTGCTTTTCGAAATTACCTCCGTTGTTTCTCCAATCTCTGACAAATGATGAATGAAACTTGGTGTGATTTACACGGATACGAGAAAGGAAGTCTCGACCGGGCATGACCTGGGATAAAAAGATCTTTTCCTGTGAAACGGCGAGACACAGTAAGATAAATTGAAAAGGATTTAGTACGGAGAAAGTAGACTCAAGAATTCCGCGCTATGTCAAGGAACGTGTGCTTACAGGAGCCAGTCCCGCGGAAAGCGAAGCCATCGGTACCGGCCGTTGGAGGGCGTATTCAAGAGCTCGACTTGCACAACCTCAGCCAGACTGCTCCCAGCAAACGCACGGAGAAGATAAACGTGTTGGCACGTTTGCGGCAGCGAGGGGTGAGTACTCGAAAGCCCCCCGAATCCACGTGGGAAAAAATTGTGGCTTGGTCTTACTGCAAAGCCAGTGGTAAGTTTGCTCACCACAAATTTGGCAAGCCGTTTTGAATGCCAAAATTTGGCAAGCTTTGGTTGGAAATTTTCTTAAGCTTGTCAAATTTTGGCAAGCTGGGTGGTATGTCCAGGGCAAGCTTGCCAACTTTTGGCAAGCTAAGTGGTATTTCCAGGTCAAGCTTGCCAATTTTTGGCATTCAAACCGGCTTGCCAAATCTGTGGCAGCAAACTTACCACTAGCTTTGCAGTGCTAGCTAGCCCGGGCGTTATCAATGTACGCACGTCAAATTTGGCTATTCGAAGTGTGAGACTGTCTCAGACTTGGAAGCAGTGTTGCAATAGCGTTTGCATTCTCAGTAAAATTGCACTGAGAACACCTTACAAACTATTTCAGGCCCTACAAAGAAAAGCAGCGTGTTGTAGCAAAGTATTTTGAGAATACATAAGCTTTCAAAGAAAATACTTCGAAATTTCCGAAATATTTCTTCGTAAAACAAAGTAAATTGGTTTGTATAGGGTAAGGTTCCCAAACATGTATCACTGTTTAGACATGACCTGTATTTCGGCTCAAACAAGCGATGACATATTTTCTTCTATACACTTCAAGATTACCACAAAGACAACCTCCTCCCAAGAACTGATCATTTAATAACAAATACTTTGAACTTTACAGAGCTTTGAAATTTAACTGAATTTAGTGATCCGTGTTTGGGTCTGACCCAAACATGGATCACCCCCCTCGCATTTTGACAGGGGCGTTCCGATAACTTCCCAGTCATCTAAATTTTCAAAGAGTGCACTCTGAAGGTGCCACGAAAAAAATTGCGACATTTCTGATGAATGGATTCTTTGTAATAACGGTTTGAATTTTGAGGCAGTTCCGGTGATGTGCAGGTTCGGCGGCTGATCAAGGTGCGGTGTGACCGCGACCCCGCCTGGATCCTGGTCGTGTTGCGGAGCGCCGCCCCGACGCTGGAGGAGCTGTACATGAAGAGCCCCTGCGCCGAGCACGTCCGGGAGGCGCACGCCATGGCCGGGCTGCGGCGCCTGGAGCTGGAGTGCGACGGCTACCTGGACGCACGGCCCCCCGTCCTCCCGGACCTGCCGCAGGTACACCCTCAGACCTTCATGGACTTTTTAGGGAACCCCTATTGTTTTCGGTCTGGCGCTTCTGCGGCGCTTAAGTATTTCAACCATTAAAATAAAAATTCCAACTTTGTTCGAAAATTCATCGTGGAAATTGCAGGGATCCTTAACTTACCTCATAAGGGCATCATAACGTTATGATAAGAGTTAAAGTTCTTACCCTTAACTTCTAACATCTTTTCAAAAGGGTAAGTTATTCTTTTAATGCTCGACTTTGTATGGATATACTTTTGCAAGTACTTTCATAAGTCCGTACCCTTAACCTTAAGCGAACATTGTCTTGTCTAATGTCACGTTATGACAGCAGTGTTAGTTAAATGTTGAGTCAAATTAAGGATCCTTAGGAAATTGTCCGTAAACTGCTAATACACAAAGTTGCAACTGTCGGAAACGTAATCCGTTGATTCTACCAACAATTAGTCTAAAAAATGTGTCACTTCTGAAAACTGGTTTCGAACTTGGTTTCGAAGTATTCACACGTCTGTCTCTCTTGGGTGTGTCGCAGGCCAGCCTCAAGTGGCTGCGTGCGGTTGGCCTTCCGCGGCCGACCCTGGTGTCGCTGCTGCGCGCCCACAGCGCCTCCCTGGACGACCTCTGGCTGCAGGTGGGCACCCCGGGGGGCGGCAAGTGGCCCTGGGCGTGCAACGACCTCGAGGCCCTCCTGGTGCAGAGCGGCCTGCACTCCTCGCGGATCGTGCTCGTGAGGCTGTACGTGACTCACAGCACGGCGGACTGCCCCGCGCAGGTGGCGGCGGTGCGGGCCGCGCTGGGCTCCACAGTGCAGTGCACCGAGTGCCACAAGGTCAAGTGGGAGCGGTTCTAAGTGCCGGCGACATTGTAAATGGTGGAAGGCTGCACCAACATGTTCACTGCCAATCGAAGTGTGAGACAGTCTCGCACTTGCAGGTGTGGGACATTTCGTCTCACGCTTTCAGGTTTGAGTCACTTTTGTCTCACGCTTGCAAGTGAGAGACACAGCTTGTCCCACACTTGCTGCCTACGCTAGCTCTGTGGTTCGATGCCACGGGCCCCACGCCTGCAAGTGTAGGACAAACCGTGTCTCACACATGTAAGGGTGAGACAGAATGTTCCACACCTACAAGTGTGAGACTGTCTCGCACTTGGCTTGGCAGTGTTATGGTGGAGATATCCTCCATAATACCAACGAAATTCGTCAAAATATCTACAAGGTACAATGAATTCTCGATGGTATATTACAAAGTCAGCTGCATCACCATAATATGGAACATTTTCACCATAATATGGAGAATCTTCTGTACAACATTTAAAAAGGAGGCTGCACTGATAAAGTTACAACGTAACTATAAGCTTGAATCAAGCATGAAGTTACGCTTGAAGACGTCCCACGTGAAGTGAAGCATACAAGATATTCCCCCATGCGTTTAGATATGCGTGTATACACGCCCAATTTCCTTCTGAGAAATACCGTGCTGTCATAAAATACTACTCAGTACTTCACGACACAAATCTGTCCTAATGCTGAGAAATTTGATCGTAATATGTTGAAACTGGTGACAAGTTACCGTCAACGGGGGTAACTTGGGACACTTTTTCACGTTTTTTGAACGCCAGAGGCAAGATTCTCAACCCAGACCATTGGATCCTAACTATGTTAAAGTTTGACCCTTTTCCCATGATTTCATGCTTGTCTGGTTCATTTGCCTCGATTACATCGTTTCCAAGCGGTCCCGAAAGAGTGTCCCAAGTTACCCCATGACCGGGGGTAACTTGGGACAGTAGGTAATTAGCTACGTTCCCATGCATCTATTGATGTTAATGGACGTAATAAATTTAAGTCACAACATATAGACCAAAATTTCAGGCCTAGGAACTCTTGTAGGACCGATATTGGACTATATCTAGGGCTCTACGCGGAACTCTCTTTTCTACTGGTATTTTCCAGGCATTTTCTGAAAATTTCAAAATATGGATTACCAGAAGACAAAACTGCAGAGCAAGGCATCTCTTTCCATCATGAGCGTCAAATCCTAAGTTTAAGTTATGTCAGGAACCAGGTCAGTCAACTCCTAGGAGGCTACGACTGCTGGAAACATGAGGAAAAGACTGTCCCAAGTTACCCCGTAAAATTTCGATTTTTGAGAAAATGAAGTCTGGACCGAAGATTGGAAAACTATAATCAACGCCCTTTTGCGAACTTTATTGTCTGTGTATGATCTAACAACCCAGAGAGACTAATCGGCCAAAAATGCATTTCACTCCTTGCACTAGGGTCAACTTGTCGTCAATGTTTGACAAATTTTGTCAAAAACCCTACTATGTAGTTTCCCGTTTCTCAAATACTAATTATTATGTTATGCACCTTTTCTACCTATCCGCGCGTGCCCTGAGGCCTTTGAAAGGAAACCCTGCCGCGGGTTTGACGCTAGGAACCCCCGTCGCGGAATGGCAGCACTAACAAGCTGTACAGGACAGACTGTCCCAAGTTACCCCCGGTGTCCCAAGTTACCCCCGTTGACGGTACTGAGAACTCTTCACCATAGGTTACTAACTTCGATGCGCAGTTATCCTTCTAAACCTTTTGTTCGTATTACGAAGATGAAGTTTAGTAGGATATTGGGATCGTTCGGAAATCTCGGGGGTTGCCTGTTACGCTGTGATAACACTCTCATTCCAGGAATGTGACATCACGTTAAAACAAACGTGACAAATTGTCACGTTCGTTTGAGCATTGTGTCACGTTCGTTTGAATGTGAACAAGGCTATTTTTGGCCGATTCATATAGAAACGAATGTGACAATACTCGGACGAACGTGACATTATGTCACGTTCGTTGGAACGTTCCTGTAATGAGAGTGAATCTAGGCCCAGACCGGCCGGAACCTTGGAGACTTGATGCATTTGTAACGCATTTGTAACTTAACCATGCCTCTTCTAAGTCATTAAACCTTAGAATATTTTTGTCAGATTTCTCTTGTATCACATGCAGAAAATAGTCAGTGCAGCTCTGCGCCGTATAAGTTCTTTAGAGCTAAAAAATGCTCGGGGTGGGGGTATATTTTGAACGTTGAAAACCGCCGAAAGGGTGCTTTGCTTCGTCCAGAAAAATAAAGGCAAGTTTCATTTCTTTTGAACACGACTTTTTTTTTCAAGAAAGAAAGTTGCAAACGTTGCCAGCTTACTACACGATACCAGATATTGGTAGTTGCTTCCTATTCCCTTTCCTTTCACCTTACTCAGTTTACTGATGGAACTCGAGGTATGCTCGGCGTTACCACGCGTACGACTGTCACCCTGAGAACGCAACACTACACTCTCAGCACGTTACTGACTTTTTCCTCATTAATTACCTATTCGTATAAGCAACAACAACACTTAGCATTTTCTGCGTAAGTATGACTAATTTCCTTTGTAAAATTATGTACAAAACCAAATTGTCACTGCATGTACTTCTTTAAAAAAGGAAAAGTACGTATTATGGTTGCACAAACCACTTGCATAAGTACTGACAAAACGAGCCAAAAGTCAGTAACGTGCTTCGAGCGTACGGTATGACTGATTCATCAAGTGCCAAAATTTGTTGTTTTCACCGTGGTTTCACAATCACAGTACATACTGTGTTCTCCGAAAAGTGGGCCCTCTGTACTTTTTCTCTGCTGGACAAATTTTAAAAGACCAAACTCACGTAAGTCCAAAAGTGGTAACAGAAATGAATTAACCTCGTCAGAGGAACAAAGGGTATAAAAATGTTTGTCATGAGTTGAGTCATGAGAGATGAAGCCGTGAAGTCATTCGTAATTTTTCGTACTTTTTCCCACACTTACGGAAAGTAAGTGACCCTTGAATTTTAAAAGCTCTCTCATTCCGAGTTATAGGGAGAACATGGCTAAGAGAGATATCCGTTACCAGCATCATTTCCTCATTTTGAGTCACTTTTCACATTGAGCCTAAAAGTGATTCTTTACAAGTGCAGTGTACATTTAGCCGAATCCTTGAAAAGGCTTTGTCTCACAGGGCTCAGTTTCAACCGAGTCAGAAGGCATAATTTTTGACGTATTTTCGGACTCCGGCCGTAACAATGATGTGATTATCTTCCGCTCATTGACCGCCATCAACATTTAAAATTTTGTCTTTTACTAATAATTTGCCTTATCGAGTTTCTGATTAGTGGAGTGTAGGCATCCACATCCGTCAGGCAGCCTTGCTATCACTGAGTAAATGCGACCTTAGTCCTTCCTTTGGCCAAGACATGACGCATGGAGCTAATCAAGGTAAGACGATTAATATTCCGAACATCTGGCATCACGCGGCGCTCATTGTGAGTCAAAACAAGTATGTTGAAATATCACGGAGAGGAGCCCAAAGGATGTGGTCTGAATCCAGAAAGGGAAACTAACATTACATTCGTTATTTTCAGGCCAGGTTCAGACTCGAAAACTTGAACTGGACTGAGAGTGATTTCACCTCGTACCTTGCTTCAGGCATTCATGAAAGTAATTGTTTATTGAGTTCTTATATTTGGGGCATTCCACGTCAAGGCATCATGGTCCAAACCGCACTTGCTCAGATCCGGCTCCCAATTTTTTCTATCATAACCTACACTACAAGATCAAATGTGTGCTTAGTACACAGCTATGGGGGCGTACTTGCAAGCACACATCTATAGCTGTATGCTTGGACAAGCACACATCTATAGCTGTATGCTTGGACAAGCACACATCTATAGCTGTATGCTTGGACAAGCACACATCTATAGCTGTATGCTTGGACAAGCACACAGCTGTAGGAGTATGCCTTTAAATGGGTGGGATTAAAGTGTGCTTGGACAAGCACACATCTATAGGTGTGTGCTTGGCAAGTACACATCTATAGGTGTGTGCTTGGCCAAGCACACTTTAATCCCACCCACTTAAAGGCATACTCCTACAGCTGTGTGCTTGGCCAAGCATGCATCTATAGATGTGTGCTTGTCCAAGCATACATCTATAGATGTGTGCTTGCAAGTACACTGTTAAAAAATTTTGCTGAAAATTCAGACTTTTTTGACTGAAGTAAATATGCAGAACATCCTACTGAAAATTCAGACTAAATCCTGGTCTGAAATTTTCAGACTTACACAAGTCTTAACCTTTCAGACAGGTCGTAGTCTGAAAAATTCAGACAAAATTGTCTCAATTACTAGATTGTTTTGTCTGAATGTGGCAGCAGGAAATTTTCCCGTAACTCGGTGAAATGATAGTGTTCGCATCCGAACCTCAAAGGAGAGACGTACTCCAAGGATCCGTCTAGGTAAAAAAGTGAGTGTAGGGCAATGTCCCCGATGTGGGACTCTTCCCTGCACTCATCTGGAGCTGGCCTGACGCACCCAAGGAAAAGACGGCACGGAGCCACCCGCGAGAGGTAACTTCAAATGTCAATTGTTAAACTCGCGCGTTTGCTACAGATATAAATTTGGTATGGGAGCGTTTGTTTCGTCATAGCCAATAGAGTGATGGCCATTTTGGGTTAAAAATATTAAAAATTTAACAGAAAAAAACGTTTTTAACAACAGCAGGCTCTTTACTGACACTGGCGCCACCTAGCGGAGAGAAAAATGCTTTCGTTTTGTCTGAAGTCCCCGAAACGGAGTCGGATTAAATTGAATGTAAGACTGATTGTGAGTTAACCCAATGTTAGGTTTGGAAGAAAGTTGTCCAATTTTCTCTTATCTTTGAACATATTTCAGAAAGTAGTCTGAATCCGAAATTCAGACTCTTGAGGTCTGGGAAGTCTGACGCAAGTTCATATGAATTTTGAGAATGAGTACAAATATTAAGACACTTCGAGTCTGAACCAAGCTTTCAGACAAAGCGTTTAAGAACTAAGACAAAAACTCTGATTTTTAGGGGTTCCGACGAAGGAGGACCCCTATTGCCCGGGACGGATAAATTTTTTTCTTCCGCCGACGCCAATCTAAAAATGGTTTCCGCCAAATTATTCCTTATCGTAAAAAAATAAAAATTCCTGAAAATTTCGAAAATTTATCGTAAGAATTTAACGTAAACGACAAAAACATAAATTTGCAACAATGAAGCACCCTTATCCCTTCACATTTTCCAGAAACGTTTCAAAAACAAAATGTGCTACTCCCCAAAACTAAGCATCCTGACTCATCAAAGTGACAAAAAATCGTCTGTGTTCTTAGAAAATGGTTAAAACATGAAAAAAAAGTCTCCATGGCAACGACACAGTGCCATCTTACCAACTGTCAAAATTTAAAGTCGCTGATAAAAAGAAATCGAAACGCCGTGAAATTCGAAAATGCCAATGCTAACGCATTGCACCATATCGCGACATTGGAACATCTTTGAAGTCTGTCAGTAAAAAGTTCGTAGCAGAAAAGACGCAATAAATTAATTTTCGGGGGTTGGCAACAATTTTGTCGGCGTCTGCGCCCTTTCGAAAATCGCGGGGCTGAAAAAACGAGTAGTCGCGCTGAGGTTGGATTGTTTGGCTTGCTTTTAAAGGTTGCGGTTCTCTTGTGATGTTTTCCTCAATTCTGTAATCAGCACGACGGTTGGTTTGACAAACTATATAAACTCGGGAGGGGTGGTTTCGGAACGCAGATGACTTTCGTTTGGCGAACATGAGCACTGTAAGTCGCGAGATCGCGAGATGGCCTGAGATGGCCATTGTGTTAACTGAATCAGGTTAGGGATGTAAAAATACCGGTAGGATTCAAAGTTACGTAAATTACGGTAACGTTTAGACGACAGACTCCAAATTGATTTCCACAACCGGAACACCGTGCAATGCGTTAGCATGCACTGATTTTTCAGAATTAAGTCTGATTTACAGATTCAGACCGCTAAGTCTGACAAAATTGGTCTGAATTTTCAGAATTTTTTTAACAGTGTACGCTCCCACAGCTGTGTACTAAGCACACATTTGATCTTGTAGTGTACCACTCAAGGACCACTCATATAATTAAAAAAAATATTCAGAACTTCGGCCGTAGCGATTTTTTGAAATTTCAAATTAACTTTCAAAACTTTTTTTAAAATTGTGTCTTAAGGCGCTCAAATGGGTTGAAAACAGTAAATGGCAACATAACTAAGTGAGAAACAGGTTTGGGACCCTCAGCCTTTGCCAAAAAGAGCGTTTTTGACTAAAAATAACGGTTTTTTGAATTCCCAAAATACGCCATCTTCCTTTTCGACCATATTGGTATCAAAGGGCCCTAGCGGGTTACTCTAACTGCCAGCAAAATATTGGGGACGGCAATCCATAAACACCGGAGATATTGTCAAAAAACTCCAAAAGTTATCTTAGTGGATCGTCAAAAATTGACTGTATGACACCCATATAGCTCCCGTGTATTAAAATGTTGTCCTAGTGTCTGTCTTAACTCTCTGGAACCATTTAAAGCTGAAGGTCAGCATTACTAGGGGTACGCGCCGTTCAGTCTGGGCGCGTAGTGTGGCTGAGCGATGCGAATGGACATTTTTTGTGCACTTTGGACTATGCTTGAGTAGACGAAATGTCCATATTTTGGGCTCATATTCAGTGAACTTTAGACCAGGGGTACAAATGGTAGTGATTTTCGTTATCAGAACACCAAAAACTGCTGGGATCAATGTAAAACTCGATTTAAAAATTTTGGTCTAAAATTGGTCAAAATTCGGTTAAATATGAGTCTGGGAAAAGTTTGAAGGTCATTTTTGAGTTCAGCACACCAAAAACTGCAGGAAACAATGTAAAACTCGACATCAAAATTTTGGTCCTAAATGATCTAATTTGCGATGAAAATATAAGTCTGGAGTCGAAATGAAAGTGATTTTCGTTATCAGCACACCAAAAACTGCTGGGATCAACGTCAAACTCAATTTAAAAATTTTGGTCCAAAATTGGTCAAAATTTGGGTAAGTGTGAGTCTGGGAAAATTTTGGAAGTCATTTTTGAGTTCAGCACACAAAAAACTGCAGGAAACAATATAAAACTTGACTTGAAATTTTTGGTCCAAAATGACCTAATATGGGATGAAAATATAGGTCTGGTGTTAAAATTGCCCAAATTGCGTAGCTCTAGTTGAAAATGTAGGATTGGCATTGAAATAAATGTAGTTTTTGTGACCAGTACACTGCAAACTACATACAATACTTTAGACTCAATTTCTGTATATTGTTCCTATTTGTCTTCATGAAGCACCCTCTGTCGTCACCAATTTCCTGATGCCACACCAAAGCGAATCCCTCAGTCGAGTAAAATTCAATTGCCAGCATTGAATCGCTTAATTGGCTACTCGTGTGCTTGGGTCACTATTCGATAACTCTTTTTTTGTAACTAATGAACTCACAATTTTATAAGTTATATTTATGAAACATTTTGTCATTCTTTCATTGTGAACCAGTGAATATTGGTTGGAACATGTTATCACAGTAAATATTAAGAGAGTCAGTTTAGGTTAGGCTGATCTAAACCAGTTAACGGGGACCAATTATTGTCAAATCCAGTGATTCGTCACATAGAGTCCAATGCCAAGGCTACCCAAGGCTTAATGAACCGACATAATTTATCTTACTCATGTAAACAATACTGAGTAGTACCAGTTATATTAACTTCGGAGAAGTTAAAGGAATCGTCTCACCAAATCCAATCACCAATTCACTCACCGCTCAAAACCTGAGTCGTCTCTTTGAAACCAATATCAATTCAAACTCTATTAGGATTAAATATACACTACCATATATTGATTCTATTAATAAACTCATGTTAGTACTTTTGTACTCTTGTCAGCTTGCAGCATTGCAATAGAATGAATTTCTCGAGTCCAAACTAAGTATGCCTGCCAATGTCAACACAAGTTATTTATGCATTTCCCTGATTTCCTCCAGTTTGAAAATTTTAAAAAGAGGATGACACTAGAATGAAATAAGAAGATGCACACAATATAAAAGGTCAAAATAAAAACATCCTTTTTACAATGCTTTGTCAAAAGTGCACTGACCTGAAGATGATTCCCCTCTGACAGGGGAGGAGGGAGAGGGGAACGAAACACGTAAATAATTTTCGAATCCATTCTCCATATTTCGCTGTGTTGGTGTTCCAAAAGGGTTTTAATCATTCAAGAATGTTGAAAAACTAAGGCCGATCTCATTTCCAAACCCTTCTGCTCTTTATTTAGTTTTATTTGCTCATTTGCTTAAGTCCCGTATTTGAGAGCCGCGGACCCGCAGGTATGAGAAATTGGTAAGCGCTGCGGCGCTGCCAACCTAACCAAGCTAATGACCTGATTCAAAAATATGTTTTGAATATTTCAAACGATACTAAACAACGATTTGAAACAAACTCGTGTTGGGGGGTACTAAGGCGACGTTAAATACGAAATCTTGAAACTATAGCCACTGTAGTTGCTGAGAATCGTTGGTGAGTACAAAGTCACAGACAGACGCACGACCAGTCACTTTTCAGCGCGCCCAAACACGGCAAGGGCTTCGCTATCGCTCAGCCAACAAGAATTTGGGCATAGTCAATTTTTGACGATCAACTAAGATAACTTTTAAAGTTTTTTGACAATATCTCCGGTGTTTATGGATTGCCGTCCCCAGTATTTCGCAGGCAGTTAGAGTACCCCCGGGCCCGAGGGCCCTTTGATACCAATATGGTCAAAAAGTAAGATGGCGTGATTTGGGAATTCAAAAAACCGTTATTTTTAGCTAAAAACGCCCTTTTTGGCAAAGGCTAAGGGTCCTACCCTTGTTTCTCACTTTATTATGTTGCCATTTACTGTTTTCAACCATTTGAGCACCTACAGACGCAATTTTTTAAAAAAAAAAAATTGAAAGTTTATTTTGAATTTTAAAAAATTTCACGGTTAAAGTTCTGAACATTTTTTTCAAAAAAATTTATGGGTGGTCCTTGAGTGGTAGGCTATGCTAGAAAAAATTGGGAGCCGGATGTGAGCAAGTGCGTTTTGGATCATGATGGTTTGACGTGGAATGCCCCATTTATCTATAAAAAACAGCAGACTTTAGAACGGATGCGCGTCGTCATTGGCAATCATGGTGGGGTTCCTATCACGGATATTCACTTTTTCGTAGATAAGACCTCACTTGGGAGTTGTGAGGCACAAGAGGCAGATCGCGTTGCGCGCGTGAAGGAAGTATGGCTTTAATTCCAGGTGAGTTGTAAGTAAACTAACGTTCTCTGCGGCAAAAAGCTACGGAAAATTCTGTAAACAGCTTGTGGTAATTCTCCGTAGCCCCCTTGTCAATATTCTCCGTAGACTCTTACAGTATTATCCGTAGGACCGCACAGTATTCTCCGTAGGACCTTACAGTGATCTCCGGAGGACTATACAGTCTTCCAGTATACATCTACAGGAGTATACTTGGGCAAGTATACAGCTATAGATGTGTACTTGGTAGGTATACACCTATAGGAGTGTACTTGGCAAGTATACTCCTATAGATGTGTACTTGGCAAGTAAACTCCTATAGATGTGTACTTGCCAAGTACACTCCTATACATGTATACTAAGCACACAGTGAATTTTGTAGTGCGTACAGTCTTCTCCGGTGTACTTGGCAAGTATACTCCTATAGATGTGTACTTGGCAAGCACACTCCTATAGGTATACTAAGTACAAAGTGTATTTTGAAGTGCGGCCCTACGGAGAATACTGTAAGAGCCTACGGAGAATATTGATAAGAGGGCTACGGAGAATCGGCAAAAAAATTAACAGAATTTTCCGTCCTTTTTGGCACAGTGTTGTAAGTCCAGGAAGAGTTCAGTGCGGATGCATGCTAGAGGTTCCGAGCCGAATCGAACAATCGTTTGAACTGCCCTCCTTCCAACTCGCCAGAGCTAGTAAAATCGGCCAGTCTTTTTGGTGGAAACAAGGTTGGGTTCTAAGCAGATTTTGAAATATCTCAATTTCAGGCCAAAATACAAACACTTTCCCATGTCAATTTCTTTGCTGAAATTCAGTGCCGCGAATATTACGGCACTGACATTTTACGATACCTTTTTTTCTTCGACGCTTCGCAGAATTTTGAGTGTTCCGCTGCAACAGAGTGGTGCGGGCGCAAGCAAATATTTGCCGTCCTCACGCTAAATGATTATGCATGACGAACGTGATGCATTAAACGTGTGATCACATCTACATTAGTTGAAGCATTTGTACGCATTTGTACGCAAGATTCCACGCACGCACAAAATAGTGCAAAAATCCCACATTAACGTTTCGCGCACCAATCTATTAACTTGCTTATCTCATCTTGTTCCAGCTTTACTCGCCCTTCTGGTCTCACTGACGGCGTTTTCGAGTCCCTTGCCCTCTGTCTCACGCAGCTTGAAGGATGGAGTCCTGTGCGACTTGTTCTACACCTTAAGCTTGAAAGATGGCAGGTAATTGGCAGTCTCTGAATTATGCTGCGAGCCAGCTTGTTATGAATCGATCAGGAAGTCGAAACTGGGTACACGGCAAAAGAGGTACGTGGATTTCCATGGCAAATGCCATTGGTTATCGGCAGGGAAGGGAGTTCCTGGGCAAATCAGGAACAGTATTCGCCGTGCACTGCAAGGAAAATTGTGAATAGTACAACAAAAGTACAACACACTGAAAAAAAAGTCTAGTAACGATAACCAGAATCCTGGTACCAAATACCAGACTGTCTGGTAGAATATAACTCAACTAGAATTCTGGTAAAAAATACTAAACTGTCTAGTTGGCCTCAGTCTAGTAAACCGTACCAGATTTATAGTTATCCTTACAATGCCGCCAGGCCCCCTTCTGGTAGTTTTTACCAAACATCCTGGTTAGTTAATGTGCTTACAAAACTGAAGTAAGAAGTCCATAATTTAATAAAATATTTTATCGTAGTGATGAAACCTGATGTGACGTCGATTTCGTTAACGAACAACCTCTGAATTGTTTTTTTCCCTCCTCCTCTCCTCCGGATTCGAACCGGGATCTCACACTTGTGAGACGGGCACGTTACCACTGCGCCACCACGTCGCCTGTGGGTCGAGGGGATCCCCACCAGGTGACTCTCTACGTGTCTGGCTCAGGGAAATACTCCCAGTGTTTCTTTCGGATTTAAGACTCCGAAAATAACGAAACCGGTTGCAGTTTACTTTTTGACACCCGAACATTTCAATTGAAACGAATATTTCGAAGTTTTACGTATGGTGCCAATTACTGAACAGTCTGGTAAAATTTACCAGGATTATTAACCAGACACCTGGTAAATGTCACAACACCCGATCTGGTTACTGCAACTGATCATCTGGTGAGAGTTACTAGAATTCTCGTATGAGTAACTAGTACTCGTTTAACTAGGATTGGTCTGGTACTTTTAACCAGACTTTTTTCTCAGTGAGGGATTGTAGAAAGTACAACGAGAGTTGTACAAAGTACGACGAGCCCTGGACTGCACAGCACTCGTCATGCCGGTTCCATTGTACTTTGTACAACAATTGTTATACTTTGAAAGTACAATAAAGTCCTGATTTAAAAAAAATTGCCAGAAATTTGTGTACTTTGGCTGTGGTTTTTTTTGGCAGTGTGGACGGACCGTGTTGCGGGTGACGTTTAAGTGCGCCTCTCTTTCTCTGTCAGGTGTGACGGCTTCGAAAAGATTCCGGTCCCCTGTGACGGATGGTGCCGTTCGTACATTCAATGTTCAAATGGACTTCCATCCCTGAGGGGCATCCAGTGTCCGTGGTACAAGCCAGTTTTCCATCCCACAAAGAAGAAATGCGTCCTCTTTGTGAAAACGTGCCATTGGTGGGAGGATCCTGTTCCAACAACGACGAAGGTACGCCATATTCGGTCCAGACAGGGATAAGAGAAAGTCACTCATGTACAGTAATTATACAGAAGAAGTACGGACGAGGGGTTACCCACTCCGGGAATCATGTGTACACTCAGTCCGGGAATCATTCGTAAATCTTTTAAAATTTGATGGAAAATCCTCATAGTTTCAAGTTAAAGTCATGGTAATCATGTGATACACACAAAAACATTCAAATACAAAGCAAATTTTTGAAAGTTCTCTCTTTTTCTCAGGGATATGTTCTGGGAATCCGGAATCGTGTGTACACTAAAACAACGAGTGGGTAACCCCTTCGAGCACGGAGCAGTAAAACAGAACATAAGATCATTGATCGAGTTAAGGATATATTTAACAATTTTGAAAGACATACACGGGCTCAAATATTTTACGTGGATCATAATGCCTTCATAAATATTTACAATTAATGAGCGCATTTACTCGTATGTTATTCACCTGAGAACGGTTGCACATCAAAGAGCTCATTGAGCTGCCTTTGCTGGGTACCTCTCTTGTGCGACTAAGACCTAAGGCCTCCGATAATGAACAATTAAATGCATTCTGAACGGCGTGGCGTGAAACATTAACCACCTAGTACATGTTAACCAATTGTGGTTTCATTCCAAAATGGGGTACTTAGGAAAAAAGCTGGAACGGAAGTGGAGACGAAATCAAGAAGAACAGAATATGAGTTCACGAGAATGAGCGTCTGCGTCGCCGTTCTGCCGCTTCCGCGAACCTATATTCTCATGCAAGTCCGGCATTTATTATTCTTGATTTCTTCTCAAGTTCCATCCCAGCACGCTAAATGCTAATGTTATGTACAATTTTGTACGAGACATCATAGTTTTTAGGGCACACGAAATTTTGATACGAATAACTGCACATTTTTCTCAATGTTCATACAAAATTTTGTACGAATTTGTACGAAAAGTTGGTCTGCTCAAAAAACTGTGATGTCTCGTACAAAATTTGAACAAAAACATTTAAAGTGAGCTCTAATCCGAAGTTCCCAATAATGGAGAGGACAACGACAGGTGACCTCACAGTAACGCAGTGGATTCCCCTCGCAGCGTTCAACCACGTCACGCAGGCCGACAACGCAGTTGTCCACAACCCCCAGCAGCCGGACCACGCAGCTGCCCACGGGTGCGAGCAGCCCCAACACGGACTCGCCCGCGCCTACAAGCAGCCCAGCGACGAATCCACCTCCGCCTACGAGCAGTTCAGAGACCGCAACCCCTGCAACCAGCGGCGCAACGACGCCTGCGACCATCCCGGAAACAGACCCTACGACACCTGAGACCAGCCCGAAAACAAACCCTTCGACACCTGCAACCAGCCCGGAAACAGAGTCTACGACGGCAGGGACCAGCCCTGAAACTGATGCTACAACGCCTACCGCCACCCCGGAAACGGATCCTACAACAACTGAAACCAGTTCGGAAACAGTCTCTACGACGACTGCAACCAGCCCTGAAACAGACCCTACAATGCCAGGGACCAGTCCAGAAACTGACGGTACAACGCCTTCCACCCGTTTGGAAACAGACCCTACAACGCCTGAAACCAGCTCGGAAACAGATTCTACGACGCCTTTAACCAGCCCTGGAACAAACCCTAAAACGCCAACGACCAGTCCAGAAACTGACGCTTCAACCACTCCGGAAACAGGCCCTACAACGCCTGAAACCAGCCCGAAAACTGGACCTACAATGCCTGGAACCAGCCCTGAAACAAACCCTACAACGCCAGGGACCAGTCCCGAAACTGACTCTACAACGCCTGGTACCAGCCCGGAAATAGACCCTTCATCATCGTCGACAAGCACGGGAACAGACTCCACGACGCCCACCACTAGCCTGGAAACAGACTCGACGAGCCCGGGAACAGGATCCACCACAGGCAGCACGGATACGGTTTCACCTTCGATTGGAAGCACTCCAACGACAGGTCCGCCTACTTCTAGTCCGTCGCTCACCACTTCTACACTGTAAAAAATTATTGTGAATTTACGAAATTTTTTTTTACAAATTCTCTGTAAAGTAACAATAACATTTCGTTATTTTATGAAATTTATTCGTAGAGACCGTTTTATGAATTATTCATCACAGAAATCTTCTTAATTTTATGAAATTTGTTCGTGAACACCGCCTTATGAAATGGTACGAACAAAATACATCTCAAGCGTGACTAAAATACTACAACAATGTCACAAAAACATGAAAAGTTTCCTAAAATTACAACAAATGCTTGGGTAATTCCGTTGCACAAATCGCTTGTAAGATTACGAGATATGGTGATGCCTTCATCATTTTACAAGATGTTTCATAAAACAAAACAAAAACGCTGAAATAAGTTAATCTCCATTTAATCAGCGTGACAAGGTAGAACAAAAGCGGTCCACGTCATTTTGAGCGTGTAAAAAGTTTGTAATTTTACAAATTACTGCGTGAAGAATAATTCATAAATCGTTAAGAAACAAAAAGACGTTGTAAATTTACAGATAATTTGTGCAACGAAATTACCCATAAATTGTTTGTAAATTTACGAACTAATTTTTTACAGTGTAACGGCTTCGAGACTCAGCCTCCCACTACGTCGAGTCTCCCTCCATTGACTGGACCCACGATTGTTCCCACTACAACAACGCATGCGCACAGTACTCCGAGCACAAGCGGAACTCCCACCACACAGTGTGACGGATTCGCCAAAAAGAGGACAAAATTAATAAACATGAAACCGTTTGATCAATTTACACCCAAATTTGTATACCAGGCTTTTGAAGAGCGCTGAACAAGAATTGAGAATCAATATTGCTGTACAAAGTGTTATTTTCTAAATATCACACTTAAAAAAAATATTTTTAAGTGTATATTTTCAAAATTTAGTCTACACACAATATTGAGGTCACTGAAGTCGAATATAAAAGTAGTTTTCATCAGGAGCACACAGTTTTGACTTAGCACGACGTACACTTTTACTTGCTGTAGTCGTTAGATCTAGATGAATTTGAGGTTAGGAATCTCGAAAAATTGATATTTTTCGGAGAATTTCCTTGCTTTTGGGCGTGGCTATTAGTTTAGAAAAGTCAAACATTCATTTCATGGCGCCAGGGGTGTGGTGAACGTGTCTGATAGCGTTAGAACGCCTCACCTTAGACGGCGACACGCTGCCATGTCCTATATTTAAATGCTCCCGGAGCGTCGGGTAGCGCATATTAGCGCCCAAACTCAACTTGTTCCTGTAGAGGAAGGTCTAAGCTTCAAGTTGACACCAAAATTACCGCGGGACTCGGCGGGACTCGGTTTGAAACTCCAAGAGAAAATGCAACTTCTTATAACTTTTGTCGTTTTTCTATCATATTGTATGGACGCGATTTTCAAGCGATGTTGAGGCAATGATGGCTGTTCTATACAGGCAAATTGAAGAGAATGAAACACCCTTTCCAGTACACTACTCGGTTTGCTGCTAGCATGATTCGTTTTCCCTGTACGCATCCTCAAATACAAGCAATGAAACACTGCTGCGAGCTCGCCCCGGCAGCGCTCTCAAAGCGCTGATTTCGAAGCCACGGCTACGCTCTCCTGTTGGGAGCATCGACAAAATTCAAACGGCGTTTTGCAGATTAGTCTCTTGTCTACAACATGCCCTAGTCACTTCCTCTGAACCTCATACTTGAAAAAATGAATTTTGTCCCCGTTTCGGGGCATCCGTCACACTGTGCACCACCCTGCTGACCACATCACAGGGCTCGTCCACGCAGTCGTATTCCACTTCAACTAGAATCGGTACTACGCAGGCACGCACCACCGCCTCGGGCACAACGCCGCACGCTCCTGTTACGCAACAAAATAGCGCAGCACGTCAAATTGTGCTTGGGGACTTATCTATAACAAATTTGAAAATTAACGGAAGTCTTTTGAGCTTTGGCAAAAGGAAGTAGATTGTCAACAGCTCCTTTCTTCCTTGCATGGGATTATTTGATAAAAAGACTTTGATTTTAGCCTTTCCCGGTAGTCCTTTTTATGATTTTTGAAGTACTCTTTGAAGGCTGCTTTTACTCTGTGTTTCAAACGAGGACCATGCCTCCTAATTTCTGGTTTTCTAATTTTTGTTTCTTTGGTCGGTAATATTCCTCATTAAAGTCATCTTCGCTAGATTCCTGTCTTTTTCTTTTAATATTTGTATCCTTCTTTCCACCTTTCTTCTTTGGTTTCAGTCGTATTTCCAAAACGGTGAAATTTGTCAAATTTTCACCAAAATTCACAAATTTTACTACCCTTAACAATGCCAAGATGGTTCTCCAACACTTTTTGATGCTTTTCCCACATTGCTGAGTCTTCAAAACCACCTCAGAAAAATTTTAAGGAAAAAGTTTGATTTGACTATTTTTTAAACTGCTACAAAAAATAAACCATCCAAAATCTTTCCAAACAAATTTACATGGTGAGTCAGGGGCCGATACAGAATCGATTGATACCACTTGGGTCGAAATCCGACGACCTCGATTCCAAACCGTCGTTGGATTCACGTGGAATGTCCCTGAAGACATGGAAAGGTTCAACGACGTGGAGCGGCAGGTATTGAAGCAATCGCACTAGTCAGGTTTTGGCCATTTTCAGCTGCTAGCCCCCTTAAGAGCAATAACTGTAGAATGATACGCACGGAGGTTCAATCTTCGCCGGCTTTGGGCTCGGCGGCCCTGCTTGGAGTTGATTTTCAAACGATCAAACTTACATAACCATCTTAACCGTTTTAAGTTTGTCTGAAAACAGCAATAAAAACTTGAATTATCTTGACCACAGGATTTTGCAAGGGTAGGGATTTTGCCGAGATTTCACAAGAGACCACGTCAAATTTATTCCAGATTGATGGTATTTCGCTGCATATCAGCAGATTTTGGCAGGATTTCGCTGAATTCCACCAGACTTCGAAGGGATTGCACGAGATTGCTACCGATTTCGCGCAAGATTTCGGCCAAGTTTCTCGGGATACTGTCGCAACCAGGGTGAGGAACGGAAAACTCCCATCGGACAAAACACTACCAGCAGCAAGTACCTGTCAAAATACCCTGCGGTTCAGATTGAATCCTTACTTCAGACGTTGCAGGCACCAAAAGACTTGCTGCGTAGAAAGGGTAATATGTCACCATTCCTCGTCCTTGAGACTGCGCAGCGAGCCAAAGTCACCAACACCTGTTCTTTTGACAGCTTTGTGCAAATTTTGGCTGTCGCAGTCCTAGAGAGCTAATTTGTTTAATACGTGCAACGCCTTCCCATGACCCCCTCCGATTTTGACCAAAATTTTGTTCTGAGATGCCCTTATGGTAAGAAAAAACATCCTAAAATATTAGGTCGCTAAAAAATTTATTGGCCGAGAAAACCAATGTTTTCTAAATTTGCCACTTTTTTTACTTAATTTGGGAGTTTCTTTACTACTCTGAGGTTTTTGGTGCTAAGTGGCTGAAAATTAATATCCTTATGTAAAATTGCCCAAGGAACAAGAATATGGTCACAGATTTAACCTACGACCGATATCTTGAGAAATACGTACCCAAAACGACCAAATTTTACTGAAAATACCCAAATTTTGGGGAAACGGTCAAAAATATTTTTTATCCACGATCCGTTGACGCCATCTTGTAGAAAAAGAGCTAATAAAGCCAATGAGCACACGCCCATGTTTGTAGCTCAAACCGTTTAGAAGCTGTAAGGCGTCAAAGTTGGAGGTTTTTTGAGGGGGCCTGAAAACCGGCCCTTTTGACCTCTGCGCTCAATGTCCGGCACCCGAGCCGTACCAGCCATGATCCTTGCTTTCGAGGTGAGGTCTGCGTGCGCAATGGGAGTCAAGAAGAGGGTGAAGCGGCACAGCGTTTCTGAACAGGGTCCTCTTTAGAGCGCCTGAACAGCCGAGGGTTGGTAAGCTCACCAAACGGCGCTTGGAAAGCACACGCCGCACCGTGGGCTCGCTCAAGGCCGCGAACAATGCCATTCGGTGTAAGTCTAAAACTGTCGCCCTCGACAAGCTTCGGATTCTGTTGGCTGCCCCTTCCTTCTCTCTCTTTCCCACATGGTCCAAAGCCGTGGCCCACGACCCCTCAACCTGCCCCCAATACCGGATATATTGTGTGTTGATTCAGATGAATTTCAAGCTTTTTGTCGGAAGCTGTCGCCCTTTGGGAAGCTTAGGAAGTTCTTCGGAATCTGTCGGCGTTTCCCCCGGCGGTTTTCTCACTTTCCCAACCCTGAGGGGTTGAGGGCGATTTAGCTCCATAGTATTATGACCCAAATTTGGGAGTCATGATCATGACTCTTTCATTCTCAGTGTAAAATGCTCTTTAACTAGAGACAAGTCAATAACAGTCTGAGAGTGCGGTCGACAGCTCGAGGGCAACGCAAGGTTCACACGTTCACACTGGTCAGAGAATTAAGGGGAGTCATAATGAAGTAAGGGAAATTTAAAGGGGCATTAGAACTCAGGGAAAACCGTAATTAGGTTAGGGAAAATCGCAACCAGGATAGGGAAAATTTGAAAAGCTGGCATGAAGTGTAAGTAATGCGTAGTAGGGGTGCTTGCTTAGCTCATGCGTTTCGCTCCGGAAATCATTAATATCGTATTTAATACCTATTTATACCTATTTATTGAACCTTGCGAATAAAACTTGAGAAAAAGGTCAGAGAAAATATAAAGTTTCACCCTTTCAAGAAGGCCAAATTCAGGGAAAACGAAAACGGGAACCTGTTTGAACCTTCAGACAGCGAGCTAACGCCTTCGAACAGCTTTGGATTCTGTGTCGGCCGCAATCTCCACCCTCCTCCTCTCTCTTCTTCTTCTTCCTTTCCCACATTGCCCAACTACCGCCCTCGACCCCTCAACCTCCCAAACACTAAATGAATTGTGTGTTGTTTCAGACGATTTTCAAGCTTTTGTTCGGTTATGGTCCCAAGCTGTCGCCCTCAGGAAGGTTCGGAAGAGAATCGGAGGGTTGGGAAAGTGAGAAAACCGCCGGGGGAAACGCCGACAGATTCCGAAGAACTTCCTAAGCTTCCCAAAGGGCGACAGCTTCCGACAAAAAGCTTGAAATTCATCTGAATCAACACACAATATATCCGGTATTGGGGGCAGGTTGAGGGGTCGTGGGCCACGGCTTTGGACCATGTGGGAAAGAGAGAGAAGGAAGGGGCAGCCAACAGAATCCGAAGCTTGTCGAGGGCGACAGTTTTAGACTTACACCGAATGGCATTGTTCGTGGCCTTGAGCGAGCCCACGGTGCGGCGAGTGCTTTCCAAGCGCCGTTTGGTGAGCTTACCAACCCTCGGCTGTTCAGGCGCTCTAAAGAGGACCCTGTTCAGAAACGCTGTGCCGCTTCACCCTCTTCTTGACTCCCATTGCGCACGCAGACCTCACCTCGAAAGCAAGGATCATGGCTGGTACGGCTCGGGTGCCGGACATTGAGCGCAGAGGTCAAAAGGGCCGGTTTTCAGGCCCCCTCAAAAAACCTCCAACTTTGACGCCTTACAGCTTCTAAACGGTTTGAGCTACAAACATGGGCGTGTGCTCATTGGCTTTATTAGCTCTTTTTCTACAAGATGGCGTCAACGGATCGTGGATAAAAAATATTTTTGACCGTTTCCCCAAAATTTGGGTATTTTCAGTAAAATTTGGTCGTTTTGGGTACGTATTTCTCAAGATATCGGTCGTAGGTCAAATCTGTGACCATAATCTTGTTCCTTGGGCAATTTTACATATGGATATCAATTTTCAGCCACTTAGCACCAAAAACCTCAGAGTAGTAAAAAAAACTCCCAAATTAAGTAAAAAAAGTGGCAAATTTAGAAAACATTGGTTTTCTCGGCCAATAAATTTTTTAGCGACCTAATATTTTAGGATGTTTTTTCTTACCATAAGGGCATCTCAGAAAAAAATTTTGGTCAAAATCGGAGGGGGTCATGAGAAGGCGTTGCACGTATTAAATAAATTAGCTCAGACCGTCCGACATTTAGACCCTTTATTGAAGAATGTGCCAAAACCTCCTTTACTATGCAGGTAGCATGGGCGCTTGCTCATGATGGAGCCCTGAGTGAAACGGTGCGTCTTCGACTTGAAGCTCTTGCCGCAGCAGGGAGAACGTCTGGACGCGATACCGTGCAGTGTGATGTTGAGGGGAACGCACAGCAACTGATTTCGTCTCTGGATCTTTTTTTTTTTTTTCACAGACCATTTCTTGGCAATGCTCAAAGAAGCACATTTAGGAAACTGTGAGGCAACAGTTCATATGTGATGAAAATCTTTTGTCTTGTAACGGCATCGAAGTGCTTTCAGACGCAATTTTCATGGAGCAGAAGAGACAGTCCCGTGGGCCAAGATGATTTGACACATCGTACCGTAAACCGGAGTAACTTGAGACAATATTTCACGTTTTTTGAACCGTGTGCACTCTAAATGTCTTACAATGAAATTTGACCTATGTTATTCGTATGTTACAGTGGATTCGGCGCAAGCATAATACGAAGCAATATTTCTTCGTAATACGAATCTTTTCTGCTTTTTCATTGTAAGATACAAAGAAAAACCTTCGTAATACGAAGAAAAAACACCTTCGTATTATGATTGCGCCATTTTCTTCGTATTATGGGAAATTTCTTCGTAAAACATTTGGAGTGTGTCCACGATACTTCTCTCACCAACCCGAATCCCAACTATGTTTAATTTCACATGATAACAAACGGTTTGGACTCCATTAATTTTTTTGGGGTCACCGAAAAGGAGAGTAGGGCCTCTTAAGGGGGCAGTAGCGTCATTTGCACGTATTTTGACGATTTTCGAACCTCCTGTTAAGACGTTAATAGAAAGATAAGTATGAGAGACAAACGGCAGGAAAAAGAGGAAAGTTTTTACAACATTTTCAAAACAAAATATTTTGTTTTAGCATTGAATTAGGATGTTTTGTGTTCTATGCAAAAATGGTCTGCAAAATTACATAGTGTCACTGCGCGCACGATTGCAGCCAAAGTTTTTAACTTTTTACCAATCGGTAAAATGCATCTGAAAAAGCATAAAATTGCCCATAAAATGACCCTTGGGTTTCAATATTGGGCGACTCCCACTTGCGCCGCATCCAAACTGGGGTCCGAGAAACACAGCTGAAAGGTAAGTGAG